CCAGCGTGGGCGGGGGGGTCCGGCCCCAGCCGGCTGCGGCTCGTCCCCTCCCGACCGGAGGGCTGCCTCTATGTGCAACAGTTGTAGGGCTATTAACATAATTTTATGCGCTAATTTGTGTAATCATTAAAGAGGTGAGAAGGGCATTGTTCGCATGAGTAATTACCTCTGTATTCTAATAGCTCTAATTCATCCCTTAAGTGAGTTTCATATTTCTATGAGTCAGCTAGCGAGTCACGCTTCACGTATAATATTTTTTTTTTTAAAATACCCGTTTCTTGCATGACTTGGTTGCACCCTGCGAAGCCGATGATGTGACGGATCCTGGCTTAGACCGCACGGATGTCTTACCTGGGAAGATTTGCCAGCGTGGACCCAGAGCTGTTTTACTCGCTGGGATGCCGAGAGGCTGCAGAAATGCCAGTGGAAATCTAAAAATTAAAAGCTTGGCAGTATGCTGAACTCGGGCTATTTTCCTTCTGACAAAGGACTGTATTTTTCTAGTGATTTTTGATATTGTTTTAAACTTGGGAAAAACATCCTCTGCGCAGCTCTGGGTTGGATTTGACTCTGCCTCCTTTGGCCGCGGTGCCTCTCCGTCCCCGCACGCGTGTGTATCTTTAAAGCGCACGTTGCGAAGCTGCAGGCCGGAGGGAAGGCGCGGGGAGCATCGTCTCCTGCCTGGTTTGTGGGAAACGTGGAGTTGGTTCCTTGGCTGGTGGGAATCTCGCTGGATGCTGATCCCCGCAGGATCAGCTGAGCAATGCAGATGAATGCACAAACATTGATTATTTTGGAGACAATCCATAGCTGCCAAATGAGATTAAACAACACCCCAGGTCCCAGAAAAAAACCCAACAAACTAAATATCAAAGAATAAAGAAAACGGGGCACGGTGTTGGCAGAGGCACGAGTGGGTCCCGGGGGACCACAGCCATCTAGCTGGGTATTAATCCCTGCTATCCCCGTTCCCTTCCCCGAAGGACTTTGAGCTCTTCGCTGCTATTAATCGCAGCAGCCCTGCAGGGAAGGTAATGCAGCATTATCCGTGTTTTCCAGCTGTGGCTGGGGAGGAGGGAGGCAGCCAGCTTGCCCAAGCTTTGCCGTGTGTCAGTGAAAGATCAGGGATTAGCGCTAGGATTTCCTCGCCGGCTCGGCTGCTCTAATTCAGTGGCCGTGTTTTTCCCTAAATGCACTGACCTTATGTGCCTGCTGCCGTACAGCCCGCGCCCAGGAGGAGCCGGGGCAGATGGTGGGAAGGGGAGCGAGGCAGGAGCGGATGTTTCCCTGCCGTCCTCGGCCCCGCAGGAATTATTACTAAAAATGGTCACTGGTGATTAACCGGAGGAGTGTGCCGCTAAGTAATTGGTACATGCTCTGTCTCGTTAAGTTTTCAAATCAAACTGTGGATGCTTTTTTGGAGAGCAGCAGCGGTTGCTCAAAGGCGAAGCGCCAAGGGCAGTGCGGGGCGGACGGTGCGCTTGGGCAGGGGCCGGTGAGCACCTGCCAGCGGGTCTCTGAAACGTCCTTTTACAAAACAGAAAACGCTGAATATCTGCATGTCTCTGTGTAAATCACATATAAATCATATATATGCGTAGAACCGAGTATTTGGTGAGAAGGGTGGGCAATCGGCGCTGCATGGCATCAGTGCCCCGGCACTGTGCACCCCTCCGAGGGCTGGCTGCCTCCGGGCTGCCCCGGGGCGTCCCCCGGGCGTGCACCCGCAGCGGGCAGCAGCAGAGACGGGTGGCCCCGCTTTTGGGGCACGGGCAGTAATTTTGCACGTGCCTGAGGACGGTGGCAAAGCCAGCAGCCTGCCACCCGTCCCCAGAGCCAGCGTGGCGAGTGGCAGGGAGGGCAGCTCTCCCGCTGTTCCGCAGCTGCTTTGTGGGAAAAAGTTGTGAGGGAGATAACTGAAATAATAACAAAAGGACACTGGGTGCTCGTGGCGTGGGGCAGCTCCGCCGCTCAAGGTGCCAAGCAGAGATTAGCTCCGGCACAGCTGAGGACAAGGAGGTGGGAAGAGATAACGCCACTTTCTCGGCGTGCTGCCCGCCGGCGGCAGGGCTAAACATAGCCGTGCTTGCTCCTCCTCGGCCGCGGCTCCCCGGCCCCCACCCCCCGGGGCGTGCCGGGCCGCCCGCCGGCGGCAGGGCTAAACATAGCCGTGCTTGCTCCTCCTCGGCCGCGGCTCGCTGGCCGCCATCCCGTGGGCCGTGCTGGCCAGGACTGAGCATCTCCCGCGCGGCCGTGGCATGCACAGTGGAGCCATGGAAGAAGGGAGGCAGCCCCCAGCGGTGCCGTGCGCCCTGGGAGGGCAAAGATCAGGCTGTGGGAAAGTGGGAATCTGCCTGCTGCGGCACCGCGGGGAGAGGGGATGGCGCCGGATTCACGGGGACGGCAAAGAGTAGGGAGGACGATGAAATCCCAGGGAGGGCAGCCGAGGGGGGACAGTGGGTGCCCCAGGAACAGCGGGCAGGGAAGAGTTCAGGGAGCGACCATTGCAGGGATGTTTGGCATGGGAATGCTTTCACCAGGGAATGCTTGAAAGCACTGAGCAGCCTTAACGCTCCCGCTTTTCCTGCCTGGCGGGGGGCACGGCATCGCCCGGCTCTCGGGGAGCCCTGGGCAGGCGAGTGCGTGGTGGGAGCCGACACCGTCTCCGTACGGACCCGGAGGTCTCCCCGCTGCCAGGACAGCATGCGGCCCTTGTGGCACCACGACCCCACCACTGTGGGCATCACGCTGGCTTTTCCAGTTTCCCTCCCTACCTCCTTGCACATCACTGCTGCAGCGGCACACACCTGAAAGTTTGGTGCTGAAAACATGAAAACAGAGAACCGAGCAGCGTTCAGCCATCCCTGCTGAGCCCTGCTAACGAGGCTCCTTCCCTTTGAGTGGCTTCTTGCTTCTTCTCCGTTGATTGTCGGAGTGCCTTTCTGTGGTGATTCAGCCAAGCTGGCTGGTAATTTCCTGCATCCTATTTTCCTCTTTTGAAAAGTGGAGCGATCTTTCAGATGCGCTAATTACGTGAAGGCAACGGTGCTCTCTCCGCAGCGGCAGCGCTCCCGCCAAGCCCCGGGGCAGGCATGCGTGGTGGCCCTGGCATGGTGCGGGCAGGGGTGGCCCTGGCATGGTGCGGGCAGGGCATCGCTGCCACCGCTGCCCGAGGGCGCGGGACAGACGGGACGGTGGGATGGGTGGCAGCAGGCTCGCGTGGTGGCAGAGATGACGACTGTGGGCAGCCGTCTGGCGAGAGCTTTCCCTTGCCCTCTGCCTAGCAAATGGGTTGTCTGCCCCACCCAGGTTTTGCTGCAGGGACGCACTTGTCCAGCGGGCGCTGGGCAGAGGGATGTGGTGGGATGCTCTTTGGGGGACACCGAATCTTCCCATGGCGTGAGCCGGCATGGGACGGCGGCTGAGGCTTCGCAGCGGGCACACGCTCTGCCTCAACCTGCGCTTCCCAGTGATGTATTTTACTGCCTCTTTTTAGCTTCCCTGGTCAGTTTGAGAGGGAAGCTGAGGCTGCAAAGAGAGAAACCAGAGAAGACACAAAGTTGGGAAGCAGCTGAAGGGAAACTGCCTGCGGGGAGCACATTCTCGGTAACGTGTTGCAGCTTATTTACACACTTGAGGGCTCTTCAGCCCCATGGAGCTGTGAAATTCAAAGCCCGCCGCGTCGCTCGGGGAGCAGAGCACAAACAGAAAGGGGCTCCTCTAAAGCTGAAATATTTGACAACATTTTCTATTCTTAGCAATGCAAGCACATGCTCGCCGAACGAAATCAGAGCACGGCGTGTCGGCAGGCAGGCAGGGGCTGGGGGAAAGCGCTGCGGCTTTGAAGGTGCCGGGTGAGGAGGGTGCACGGGTGCTGCAGGGCAGGCTCTCGCCCAGCCCAACTCACCCGCTCTGTGACCGTGGGAGATGTGCAGACAGCAGAAAAGCAAATTATCGTTTTATCGTTCGTGTCCCGGTACAGGTCCTAACGCGCAGGGGGCTTCTGCAAGGATAATGGGATAAAATGGGGAGAGTTTAGATGGTCCTTCTGGGGCTCCCGGGTTCGGGGAGGGGAGCTGCATCCCCCTGCCCTGCCCGGCTTCCCCGAGCAGGCAGGACAGCTAATGGCGCCTGTGCGAATAGGCACTTTATTAACTGTTTCGTGGCTGAGCACGGTGGAGGAAACGGCTCCTCTCTCTCCGAGTCGCGCCGCGAGGTGGGTTTGACAAATGACCCGTGGGTATTGCTGCTTCTGGAGGCGGATGTCCCTGGGGAGCCGCGTGCGGGGTGGCCAGAGGGCACGTGAGCGGCCAAGGGCTGTGCGGGGGTTTCGGCAGTGCCGACGTCGGGCAGAGCGTGGCGGTGGCACCGAGGGGCAGCCCCGGTGCTGCCCTGGTCCCCGGGAGACTCCCCACAACCGGCTCGGCACAGACGCTGGAGGTGGAGGACACCCCGGCAGCCCCGGCAGCGTTCCTGACCTTCCCAACAGCTTGGGAAGTGCTGAGGAAGAAAGGAGGGAAGATTTTTGTTTGAAAAGGCAGAAAAGAGCAGCCTCGGGACGGTGGTAAATGGGCCCATGGAAATTCCCTTTGCACGCTTGCCGCGGGTACCGGAGCGGCAGCAGGGTGGCTGCTGATGCTATCGCTGTCCCAGCTCGATGACTAAGGGAGCTGGAAGGTATAAATTAAATAACACAACACTTCAAGCCACCTGTTTTGTGGGTTTGTCCAAAGCAGTGCTGCTTTAATTAAGATGGAGGGTTTACAAATCTAACCTTTGTTTGTTCTGCTTTGGGGCATATATAATGTAAATATGTGTTTTCAAACACTGTGGCTTTTTATATTTCCAGTTATAATTCTGGGTAAAGGAAAGTTCGTTGGGTTTGGCATAGACTTGCCCTTTATAAATACGGCTCCTGCGAGCTTGTTCTCCCCCCGGGGATGATCTGCGGAGCCTCAGATCGCTTTGCTCCCAACGCAGCTCTCTCTCGGCGGTTGCTGCCCCGTTACGGGATGTGTCGGGTGTGCGAGAGGGGCCGACGCCGTCGAGAGGAAAGCGGGCTCCAGCTCTGTTTCCCTTTCCTCCAACTTAGTAAGAAGGCTTTGAGTCTTCTAGGTTTTGTTCCCGTATCCCCTCTTGATTCTTTAGTTGTAAAACCAACAAAAACGTGGAGTTTAGCCTCCTACATGCTCATCAGGATTTCTTCGATGACTCAGTGCTATGCCAGGGGAGGCACCGCTGCGGCTGCCCCTGCGCCGCGGCTGGGGAGAGCATCTCTGCCGAGCAGAACCAACGCTCCGCGGGCGAGCCGGGCCGGCGCGGTCCCGGCAGGGCTGAGCACGCCTGTTGCACGTGCGCTAGCAAACCCCTTTCACTCCTTTTTTTTTTGGTTTGTTTTTCCTAAGTCAGAGCTTCTGCAGAGCAAGGGGGATATTTTGCACGTTTCCAGCGCTGCCCGCCGCACGCATCAGCACAGTGGTCTACGGGGGTGGTCAAAAACAAGCAGGCTCCAAATTCCCCGAGGCAGACGGACTCTCGGACGTGCGGGTGCCCCTGAGCGGGTCGGGCCCCTCCAGGCAGCCGAGCCGCCCGGGCACATAGCCACCAACTTTCCTCTGGGGTCACAAGGCCGAGAAACAGTTTTTTTTTTTTTTTTAATGCAAACAGATTTTGACATAATCACTCGACTAGTCAAACTCACAGGGGTTTCAAGGAAAAAAGCTAGCAGATAGCCTGAGAGGCGCGAAACAATCGCAAGCGGCACTCTGAACAGAAAAACTACTGTGTTGCAATGCTCCTGCAAAGTGAAGAAACGCTCGGGGAGGGCTGAGGACCAGCGCCGCAGGAGCCAGGTGACTTGCCCAAGATTGCACAAAGCGATGGCCGAGCTGGCGGGCTGGGATCCCCGACGAGTCCTCTGCCGCTCGGTCCCCACTGTCCCCCCTCCCCGCCGCAGCAGCGCGGCACCGGCGTTACGCAGAGCCGGGGCTTCGGGACCGGCCTTTGCGTTATCTGTAACAGGAGACAAGAAAAACCACCCGGCTCTCCCATTGGGGAGGAAGTACTATAGGAAACTTCATCGACGTGAGCCATATTTAGCCCGGCTTACTGAGGTCAAGCTGCACGGAAGCCCGCAGTGACGTGCCTGTATTTCTTCACACGCCTGACCTGCTGGGTGGTTTTGGTGAAGCGGGTACCACCACGGCCTTGGACGCGCAGTGCGGCTCAGCATGGATCTGGGCCTGGGCAAAGAGGATTGATCGGAGCCAGGGGAAAAAAAAAAAAAAAAAAAAAAAAAAAAAAAAAAAAAAATAAAGCCTTGTAAGCCTGTTCTCATCTCCCCCCAGCCCTGGGGAAGACGGCCCTTGCCTATGAGCAGAGGTCTAGTTTTAAAGCATCCATCCTCTCCCAGTTTCACCTGCTGCACTCGTGTTTTTCCCGTGCTTGCAGGAGAAATGCCAGACGCCCCTCGCAGGGCCACCCCAGGCGGCGGCGCAGAGGCCCCCTGCACCCGCGTCCGTCCCCGTCCCCCGAGTGCACCGGGGAGGCACGAGGAACGCCGGGAGCTCGGGGCCCCGTCCGACCGCTTGTCAAGGATGTGCTTGATGTGTGTAAACACGTAATTAACGGTAAGTATATACTTAATTGCTTGTGGCTTTGATTTGCATTCAGGTGCTGCGCTGAAGATGCCTTAGATACAAGCAAACCCGGTCAGTTTGCTGCTTTGACGTGTGTCGGAAAGCCTGCCGGGGAGGGGGCCGCGGAGGCCCCGATCGCCGGGAGCCGGGCCAGAGGCCGTGCAG